AGTTCTCCGAAACAAAACCATAACTCTGGTAAAATTCTTATGACGGAGTCATCGTATCGAAGAAGCTACGTGGGAAATGGAAAATCAAATGCGAGCCCCGATATCCACACCTTTTCAAAAACTAAGGTACAACAAGTTTGAGGACAAACTTCCATTTAGAAGGGGAGAAATGTGATACGCTAAATGTGTAATTAAATACCGCATAACTATATATATATAATTATGGTTGGATGTGATAATAATGGTATATAATTATTTTAAGAATTGGGCCAAAGTAAAATGACACTACAAGTTAAATAAATAAATAATCATAAGAAGAAAATATATTTAAGTACATAGTTATACGTGCTAAGGTGTAATTTAATTTGGCATTAATTTATCAACATGGGAATAATATATTATCTAGGGGCTAAAACCACACTAATACGAAATTGTGACAAAAAAAAAAAAAATGGGCAAAAGAAAAGAATAGTGAAAGATGGCCAAACCACCTGTTAAGTCCAAGTCCTAGAGGCAGTGAATCATCACATAGGAAATTAATTACAGGGTGAGTCACCTACTAAGCTCCGGTATAAATGGGAGTTACGGGTAGCCAACGAGAAAAAAAGAAAAAGAAAAAAAAGGTAACATAAAGGGAAAAAAAAAATTAGTAAGAAAAGGCTAACGGTCAATATTAAGATGACATAACTATATATATATAATTATGGTTGGATGTGATAATAATAGCATATAATTATTTTAAGAATTGGGCCAAAGTAAAATGACACTACAAGTTAAATAAATAAATAATCATAAGAAGAAAATATATTTAAGTACATAGTTATACGTGCTAAGGTGTAATTTAATTTGGCATTAATTTATCAACATGGGAATAATATATTATCTAGGGGCTAAAACCACACTAATACGGAATTGTGACAAAAAAAAAAAAAATGGGCAAAAGAAAAGTATAGTGAAAGATGGCCAAGTCCAAGTCCTAGAGGCAGTGAATCATCACATAAGAAATTAATTACAGGGTGAGTCACCTACTAAGCTCCGGTGTAAATGGGAGTTACGGGTAGCCAACGAGAAAAAAAAAGAAAAAAAAAAGAAAAAGGAGCCTCGAAAGGTAACATAAAGGGGAAAAAAAAATAGTAAGAAAAGGCTAACGGTCAATATTAAGATGAGTTATATTATATCTTGAGTCATAGTAAGAAAAGGCTAACGGTCAATATTAAGATGAGTTATATTATATCTTGAGTCATCATAATATATTTTACGTATGTTTTGGGTTACCATAAATTATTTTACACAATTTATGTTTTATAAATTATATTAGTATTTTGATTACGTTAATTATTTTCTGAATTCTATTTGCTTAAATTGAAACTTATGGATATGTTTGTTTAATTTTTAGAAATTATTTGACAATGATTTTATAAACAATTATGTTTTGTAAGTATCACCACGGGAGTCCCATACCTTGGGAGACTTAAATAATCATTGGCCTCTGTTTGGCCACTTTGTGGTCCTCTGTTTGTCATGGATCCATTGACCTCTGTTCTGACTGTCACTCTTGTGATCCCTGTTCTGTTTTGTTTTGTATCGTGGTTATGGCTATTTATTTACATAATTTCTGTATTTCAGTTTTTGCCACTTAAATAATTTGTTTATTCAAATTAAATTATGTTAATATTTTAACTTAAATAACTATCCATGGTTATTTTGTGTCCCTTATACTCTTGGTATAATATTTCCCACTCTGTTGTGTGCTTATAGCTGTTACTCTTTCAGGTGATGAAATGTAAGGAAAACCTGTAACCTCGTGTAATGGAACCCGCACAAGAATTTGATGCTGATCTGTTATTTTTTTTTCTTTTCTTTTCTTTTCTTTTTTTCTCTAAAATTTTGTCACCGCATAATAAAATAATAAAAGCGACATGGATGTATTTTCAATCATTAACGAAGAAATTTTTCTGTTTAATTATTTTCTTACTTCCATCCTGTCTCCACCTGCGCCATTTAATTTGTTAAAATTAGAATTAATTAATAAGTTGCGATTCCAGCCCTAAGTCTCTGGGGTTAGGTCGTGATATAAAATTTTCCTTTAGCATTCTTCAAGTAATGAAGTTTCACTTGAAGTTTTCTTTTGTTATCCTCCTTTGTAGTCTCTCAATTATTGGGATTACTTGGAGCTGGACTCCTTCTATTTTTTAGGCTCTTCATTTGGCATAACAACTCTTAACTTAATTCTCTATTTCCCAAATCTCCCATATCACACGATTCAAGGATATCAACTACACGGAGTGTTAAGTCTGTTTTGGGTATAATTTATTTATTTTTATTTATTATGAAAAAATGTTGTTCAGGATCTATGCACAATCTTGCTAGGTAGCTTGAATTAATTAAGGCTCCAATGGCTTAAGATGCCAAAACGATGTCATTTTGGCACCTTTTTTTCTTTTCTTTTCTTTTCTTTTCTTCTTCTTTCCCTTCTCTTCTTCCTCTTCTTCCTTTCCATAACTCACAGGTTCCATAACTCAGAATAAAAAAAAGAAATAGATGAAAGAGATAAAGCAGAAAGGGAAAGAAAAATCAGAACAATCAAACAAGAAAAGAAAAAAAAAACAGAGGAGGGTGAAAGAAATAGAGAGAAGAACAGAAAAAGAAGGAGATGAGGAAGAAGAGAAAAGGAGAAAAGAAGAGGAGGAAGAACAAATCTATGTGTGTATACAGAGATCTGCGTATACACACAGGCGTCGTCACTAGGTAGAAGGGTTTGCGACCGACGGTGATGGCGGCGCAGGTGGTTTGCGACCGCAACTACAAAGCAATACTTATCTATGTAGGATTGCTTATAGGGAAGAGGACTAACATGTCTGAATGGAAGATGTTCCTCTATCCCTACAATTATTTTTTGAGTTGCAATTACTTCTCCTATCTCAAAAAAATTAATAATAATTATCTTGTTTGGTTTTAATTTTTTAACTCAATTTTTTGGAAAATTGAGTTTTTTTATTTTTGTGTTTTTAGTGATTTTTTTTTTAATATTTGAAGCAATTTTTTTTTTTTTACTTTTTAGATACACCTAACTTAAATGTACCTAAAAAGTAAAATATTGTAAAAAAATATTTCAAAAAATTAATAAATATACAAGAATACAAAAATGTATTAAATTTTTACATTTTTTAAATATTTTTGGTATTTAGTGAATTTTTTAAAGATTTTTTTCACAAATATTATACTTTTTAAGTATATTTATGTTAGATGTATCTAAAATTTTAAAAAATTATTTAAAATATTAAAAAAATTCAGTGAAAATAAGAATATATATATATATATATGAAAAATAAAAAAATTAATTTTCTAAAAAGTAAATTCAAAATTATGAAATCAAACAATGGCCTATTTTGAGAAGTAGGTTAAGAGTGAGCAGCGGATATACCGATCTGTCCAAATCGACTGAACCAAACTGATTCGCTGCATTTTGGACGGATGCGTGATGACAAGTAGACGGTTGCGGATTGATTTTTTCCAATCCGCCTAGTTTTGGACAGATGATGGATTTGAGGTTCATTTGGCCGCAACCGAATTGCCAAACCGCGAGCATCCCTAGTAATTTGTAAGATTTTGTATTTTCAATTTATTTAAATATTCTGTTTGTGTTTTCAACTGAAAAAGAATTTAAATATTTTGTTAAATATATTCTGTTGAAAAAGAGTTTTCAACTAGAATAATTTTTTTGAATTAAAAAAAATAAATGTATTATTTATCTATATTTTGTTGGTTTTTAAATCTAAAAATAATAAATAAAAAAGATGATATATGCTGGTTAGTTTTTATTTTCAAAAATAAATATAGATGTAACAATAAAGAGGCATACAATCTCTACGATTGCTTTGTTTATGGTTTTGGTAATTTGAATTGTTTTTATATTTTAAGAATCACATATTGTAATACTTTATTTGGATGAGATATGCTGTGATTGTAATATGTGGATGAAACATGCAGTGATTGTAATATTCTGAAGTTTCAAACTTTCTTTTTTTAGATAAGACATGCAATGACTGTAATACTTTTTTAAGTCATTGGCTGTAACACTCTTTTTTTTTGCACAAATTGAATTATGTTGAAATTTATAAAATTTTAAACCTCCAAACCGATTCGCATCCATCCGCCAATCTATTCAATCTGCATCTGCTGAATTGGTGGACGGATGTGGATTCATTTTCTCCAATCCACCAATCTGGTGGACGAATGACGAATTGGAGGTTCTGTGTTCACAATCGACCCGCGCCCATCCCTAATTAAACGTCAATTATTTATTTATTTATTTATAGACTCTTTTTAAAAAAATATGTAAAAAAATAGATAGATAATGTGACTAAAAAAAACTAAAAAGCTAATTTTTTTTGACTTTTAACCTAATTTCTAAAATAGGCCAAAGTAAATAGGTTTTGAACTTTTTATTTTCAAAATAAATAAAATCTATTTTAAAAAAGAATCTTGATTGGTAACTCGAAAAAGCTCTCTCTCGAATCCCCCCAATTTGAAAAGAAGAAGACTAGAGGGGGGCTTAGGCAGAGGCAGGGGGCAGAGGCGACGGCGGGGCTGGGCTGCGACGGAGCTGGGCTGCGACGACGACTGGGTTGGGCGACGATCGGCGATCGACGAACCTCTCTTCTCTTTCTCTCTTCCCCTCTTCTTCTCTCTTTCTCTCCCTATTCCTCTCTGCATTTCAGATTGGAAAATGGAAGAAAAAAAAGAAAAACAATAAAAAAATACCCAAAACAACGCCGTCTTAGACATTTAAAGGATTCGGAAAAAAAAATTTCGAGTTACAAAATATTTTTCTTTAAAAAAAGAAAGACTAATTACTCGTCCGACTCGGACAATTAGCCCGACTAACCCGAAATCTAACATGCTAACATGCTGTTAATATACATGATGAACCCATACGTCTAAGCGTATCTATACCGTTAAAAACAGTTGATGATCCAAACACGTAATCAATCATCAACCAGTTCAAAAGCACGAGAGAGATAAGACACAGATCGTACTACGAGAGCAATTTTGATTTTTTTTTGGTTGTTCTCTCATGCTCTCTGCAAATCGTAGACAGTGACACACCATACGAACGATCTCTCAGAAGCTCAATCAAAACCCTAACTTCCTCTCTAAATCTTCGCATTTCATGTTCTCGTCCATGGATTCATCAATTTTGCCCTAGAATTTGATGCAAGATTGATCGCGGACTCTGTACCTGTTCGTCGTTGTCTCGGACCTGTGTTTGTAGCTGCAAAAGCGCTAAATTGACTTGCTTGTTCTGATTTCGATTTCGCTGCCTCGACTTCTTGTCATTTTTGGCCGTAATTGATTTATAATTATTCATTCTAAATATCTTTTTGTTATGATTTTTTTTTTTTTTTTTTTTTGTGTGTGTGTGTATGTGTGTGTGTGTGTGGCTTGGGCGAAAATCTGATGAAAAACGATGATGACATAATTTCTGCTCTATATGGAAATTTGCTCTTTCTAGATCGACACAATCACTGCCAAAACATTGATGCACATAGATACGTATATATATTGTGTGCGTAGACTCTGTAATTCGTTAAAATGCACTGTTGTAATACAATTTTAAGTATTGCAGGATGGTTTGAGGAATTATTGAGGTGTTGGTGGAATTGAATCATGGGTAGTAGTGAGATGGATAAACCTACAAAGGAGGCGAAGGAGGCAAAGGAGTCGAAAACGCCTACTATGCAGGTATGCTGTTTGATTTAAAGGCACATGTATATATATATATATATAAATTGTTTAATGTTTTGTTGCACATTGGGTTGTTCAGGAACAGTCTTCATCTACACCCACTGGCGCTGCTAATCCTGAGTGGTCTGGTTTTCAGGTTCAACCGCTAGACCCATTCATTTCAGTCCTTTATTGTTCACTTAAGAAATTTGATGTCAGTAGTTATTTGGTATGTATTGTGTTTGTATCAGGCATATTCTCCTATGCATCCACATGGGTTCTTGGCATCGAGCCCTCAAGCTCACCCCTACATGTGGGGAGTTCAGGTATATTTGTTTTTTGTATGGGGTTTAACTCAATTCTTTTCTCCCTAACATGTTTAAATTTATTTATTTATTTATTTTTTGAGATATAACCGTAGAGATTCTATTTTTGATTGCTAAGAGTAGTAACGTTGTGAAGACGGGAGAATTTGCTGATCTCTTTAACTAATTGATTGAGTTCACAGGTCAAACTGTTCCACATATGATGCTATTCTACTGGTTAAGTTTCCAATATTCTCACAAATTCATGCTTTTGACCCTCACGCATTAAATTCTTATCACGTGCAGTTTATGTTCCATATTTTGGTTGAAGTTGAATATTCTTGACTCTTTTACGATTTCCTGAAGTTTGTCTTTTAATTTATTCACTTATATTAGTAACATGTTGTTAAACTTTGTACAAGATGTGCATTTAATACGGAAAAGGTTACTTATTATTACAATCAAAGATCAGTCTCTTTACAAGTCATTGAGTGGAATTGCACAAAATTATGATGAACAATAGTGCAGAAAGCAAGTTAGACAATGGTAATCAAAGCTTCCTAAGTGTCAGTTGCTGCATTAGAAAATTATTCCGTTTTAAGAGAGCATGAAGAATCACAGACAGACCTCTCGTTAGTTTTCATATTGATTCTTAGCAATGCTCGAAGCTCTTTAAAGACGTGGCATCACCTGCTTACTAAAGAGCCAAAAAGATTTCTCCAACTAAGAGAGGAAGAGGACCATTGAAGATTTAAGCAAATCGTCATTTCAGTTAATTCTTTAAAGCTACACTCTGGAGAATTCATCAAATTCTGGAGATAATGTTATGTACTATTAAGATATGATTAATTTAAGGGATAATTACTATTTACTCACAAGTCCTAAGTGATTTTTTATTTATTTATTTTTTAATGTATTTGCCCCTCGTTTTGATAATGAGAAAATTTTGGGACTTTTAGATGTGTTTTGTGTTTGTGAAATGATAATTTGTTACTAGTAATGATACTAATAAATTTATCAAAGTGATAAATGATTGGAACATTTTGGCTTTTGTTTGTGAATTTAATTTATTTTTAGTTTATTTGTGTTAGTTTGTATTGAAATATGATGTGGGAAGTGTAAATAGTTGAATTGTATTTTTTTAAAAATATTTTTACAGAGATAAATTTATCAATTAAAGTTGGAGTACGACTTTTTGATAAATAAATCTATTCCACGGCATCGGCTCGTAACCACCCCTTAATTTAATTTATTATCCTTATAGGAATTTGGAAGAAATGATGTTTTTGTTTAAGAAATACCAAATAACATGATATCAAGTTTGAATATGAATGATTGGATCTTGTGATGAGCCCATAGACATAATCAAATATATACATATATGAATATATGTGTAACTGTGTATATATATCATCGGAGATAAAAATTGCTGTGCACTGGAGATCCATAGTTTCTTAGAATTATGATAATAAGTAACACTGCAGCTTCACATGGCTTTAAACTTTTGCATTTTAGTCATGGATATAAAGTCCAATGCAGCTCCTCAAGAATAAAGACATGAGGGCTGAAATGCGTTTATTTTATATTTAATATTTATTCCGCTTTCATAAATATTAAGTAGGGTGACCCCATGCACGAGACTCCTGCTAATACTGTAGGTGCTGGACGGGATGCAACCTATTTACAGTGGAGTATATAGGAGCTAAGCTCCTAGTCCTACTAAAATGCTTGTATGACCTATAGAATCGATGTAAGAAAACTTCATATGCATATATATTGCAAATGATTTTTTTCCCTCAGATTTTCTATGATCATCAGTAGCTTAAGTGAGAATGGTCTGTTTAAGCATGCTACAATCTGTTTTTCTCTTTTAGCACAGAACCTTTAGAGTATGCATTATTTGCAATTTCCTGAACCAGAGAATCTTTTTGACTTAGCATTGAGCATTTCTGTACATCCTTTTCCTTTTGCTCCTACTCTGGCCTCAAGAGGATCTGTCACTAGAAAACCTTTAACTTTCATCCCTGTGGTCCGAAACCCCGATGGTTGCATCACCCGGGTCCTCCATTTCCGAACCTCTCCAACTGTACCTGTCTCTAAACCCACTTCACAGCACCTGGGTTCGCCTATTCCTGCCCCGAGAAGCACTGGATCATAGTTCCTCCTCATCATCATCATCATCAAAGCTCTGCGAAACTGTCTTCGGTGATGGAGAGTGGCAAAGCTGTAAATAGACGGGTGGAGCCGGGTAAATTTTTTCGAGAAAGAATGCTCAAGACTGGAACTGTAATGCCAATGCCTTTTCATCCTACTCTGACGATGCGAACAGCCGTGACCAGTCGTTCGGTTCTTACTCCGACGAGACGAATTCCGGTAACCAATCGGCGATTGATTTCGATTATGCACACTACATGCTGACTATAGGGCGGAAAGGCAAAGGTGGCTGCACTGCAAGTGATGAAGCCGCCACCATGGAAGTAAACAACGAGAGGTAGCTTTCCCTGTTGAAGAATTCATGGATCCTGCATCCATTGTTAGCACTAAAAATAGCTTTGTTTCTATAATACAACACTTGGGTGAATCACCCTTGCCCAATACACCTCCCATTGTCAATTAGAGAGATAATCCGGGACACAGGATAATACCCGAGGTATGCCGGAGCTCGATTAGAAACCTATTTTGTGGAGCTGAAACAGAAAGAATTGAGAAGCACCCAACACCACAAATGTGTGTATGAGTTCACTTTTGCAGAGCCTTTATCATTCCAATACAGACCCAGAAGAGAGAGAGAGAGAGAGAGAGAGAGAGAGAGCAGAATTCATGAAACTGAACCAGATTTTGTCGCCGATAGTGAAGATTCTGCCGGAGGACCAAGAGGCGAGGTCGGCAGAAGGGTCCCAGCCGCGATCGCCTCCGACGACATGATGGGTTTGGGCTACAACCGATTTTTCTGCAAATCCATGATGAACCCATAAAAAATACAAACACTCTTCTCTCTCTCCTATCTCTCCATATGATGATTTTCTGTGGGCCTATCTCTCCAGAGCATTTTCTCAAATCCAATCAAGAGCATTTTCTCTCTCTCCCTTTACTTTTTTCACTCCCACAAAACATTATCATCGCCATTCCCTAACCCACATGGACTTGTTCCCATCTTTTCATATAACCCATCATGCATTCCACTCATTGAAATATTAAAATTATATCACACAACCACCGTAATGGTGCTCTTCTGCTCTTTTGGTTTTCACCAAAGTAATGGGCCAGCTGTCCACTCCGTTGCTCCACTTTCTTTATTTTATTTATTTATTTTTTTAAATAAAAAAAAAAAGATAAAAAAATAAATAAATAAATAAAGAAATAAATAAAATAAAAATAAAATAATAAAAAAAAAAAAACACAAAACACTCATCAGACAACATCATCACCTATACACATAAACATCCAAAATAAATTGATTTTGAAGATTTAGGATTTAAGAACAATGAAATCAATTGGTTTTAGGGTTTAAAAATATTGAAATCAATTGGTTTTGAATATTTGCACACCATGGATGACACTAAGATTGTTGATTTCGAATAGTGCAACAATGAAATGATCAGTTTATATTTATCTTTTTGGGTCCTCTAAAAAAAAAAAAAAAATCCTTTAGCTTTTTGATTTTTTGTTAATCTCGTTCGTATAACCATTGGGAAGATGACTTTGTTGTGTGTGTGTGTGTGTGTGTGTGTGTGTGTGTGTGTGTGTGTGTGTGTGTGTGTGTGTGTGTGTGTGTGTGTGTGTGTGTGTGTGTGTGTGTGTGTGTGTGTGTGTGTGTGTGTGTGTGTGTGTGTGTGTGTGTGTGTGTGTGTGTGTGTGTGTGTGTGTGTGTGTGTGTGTGTGTGTGTGTGTGTGTGTGTGTGTGTGTGTGTGTGTGTGTGTGTGTGTGTGTGTGTGTGTGTGTGTGTGTGTGTGTGTGTGTGTGTGTGTGTGTGTGTGTGTGTGTGTGTGTGTGTGTGTGTGTGTGTGTGTGTGTGTGTGTGTGTGTGTGTGTGTGTGTGTGTGTGTGTGTGTGTGTGTGTGTGTGTGTGTGTGTGTGTGTGTGTGTGTGTGTGTGTGTGTGTGTGTGTGTGTGTGTGTGTGTGTGTGTGTGTGTGTGTGTGTGTGTGTGTGTGTGTCTCATTACATTGTTTGGAATGAATCAGTATGCGTATGTCTGCTACATAATTGACCTATTTTTGTCATGCTATGATATCAGAATTACTAATAGATTTTAGACATGTTGGGGTGCGTGCTTTGATTGTTTTCCCATGAGTATTGGAAGAATCTTGTATTGCAAAGATTCACAGAGTGACAAGGCTGCCTTTAAGAAGTATTTGTGCCAGATAGAGAACCACACTGGATGAAATAGATTAGACATGCTAATCCTACTACATATAAATTTGTTATCTATTATTTTGGAGGTTGACCCTTCATAAATTCTTCCTTAAAGGCATGTGATTCATACGTACCATATAAGCATGAGGATCATGTCTTCTATGTCAAAAAATTTCACTTTCACATCTAGTATTTTCTATTAATTTTGGGCAGGACTCACAAATGAAGTCAGGATCCAGGCAAGATTCTTTCGAAGGTTTGGCTGTAAGAATGTTTCTTTCAATTTCAGTGACTAAATTTTGCAGTTTTTTTCCGATGATTTTAATGAAATTTTTTTGCAATGCCGTTGTTACAGCTGAAGCATCTCAGAATGGTGGAACTATGCATGGTTCTCAGAATGGAGGACCAAATACACCTCCAATGATGGTGAACCAAACAATGCCCATCATGCCAGTGGCAGCAGCAGGTGCTCCAGGTGTACCTGGTCCCACCACAAACTTAAATATTGGTATGGACTACTGGGGTGCTGCAACTTCTTCCACTCTTCCTGCACTGCATGGGAAGGCACCTCCTACTCCAGTTGCAGGAGGAATGGTCACTGCTGGATCACGGGACAGTGTTCAGTCACAGCTTTGGCTACAGGTCTCTCTCTCTCTCTCTCTCTCTCTCTATCTCATTTCCTTTCTTTTCTGCCTGTAATTTCAATTATTTAATCCATTGCACTTGCTTTACTCTTAATGTCTTAGCATCTAAATTAAATATTCTTAAGACTTTAAACATTTGCTTTGTGCCTGACCTTTGGTAATCATATTGTTTGTTGGAAAGGTTAAAGAGAGTAGGGATTTGGGTCTCCCCCCAACATCTCCTTTCTTTCCACCCATCCACTCTGGATCACAAGATGGCTTGCTTTTGAAGAAGATATCTTCCACTTTTCGTTTAACCACTATATGGTTGCATGCACAGTAGTATAAGATGTGATCTAGGTACTTGCTTAGAGGTCAGAGTTTGCTCTCGACTGTTCTCATCCACAAAAGTGGAGGGAGGCCGGTGTTGTTTTTGTGATGGATGTACACAAGGATGGATCTAGATGGGGGGTCGCACCCCCAAAAGTTGTAAAAACTATGTATATTATAGTAAAAGATAATTTCAAAAAATGAGAAGTTACATGCGTATCACACACCGGCAACCCCCCCCTTTCAAAGTTTGAATCCTGGATCCATCATTGGATCATGTACAGTTATTGTTAAAAGAGGGTGCTGATAACTCTATTGATACTTTGCCTTAAATTGTTTGGTATCTTGCTTTGCTGAATATTACTTGCTATCTTCTATGAAATTTGTAGAAAGGCATCTGAGAAGTTATATAAATAAAAGCCTTGGACTACACAGCTGATGTGAGTGTTACACCAATTAAGATTAGCTATGTTAACAAGTCTCAATTACCAAAATTATCACAATGCGATATATTTTCTTTTCTCATGGGCATTGTTGTAATTTGCTCTTTGGTTATGTAGGAGTTGACCATTAGATGGATTTTGGTACGTACAACATTCTTTGGCCATCACTATTTCTCCACTTCTGTATTCCCATGCCTTACATTTCTTAATTTTATGATTGATGTGAGTGTTACACCAATTAAGATTAGCTATGTTAACAAGTCTCAATTACCAAAATTATCACAATGCGATATATTTTCTTTTCTCATGGGCATTGTTGTAATTTGCTCTTTGGTTATGTAAGTAGGAGTTGACCATTAGATGGGTTTTGGTACGTACAACATTCTTTGGCCGTTACTATTTCTCCACTACTGTATTCCCATACCTTACATTTCTTAATTTTATGATGGAGTTACTTTTACTAATTCAAGCCATGAAAAACAAGAGTACGTATCTTTGGATTGTTGTCATGTGATGAATCTTGTTTTAATGCTTCCAATATATATAAATATTTTTGGGTGAGTATTAATGCTTCAAATATGAGCTAGTCAATCTACAAGCCTCCCTTGAGTTGCTTGCCTTGTTTGAGAGATTAGTGGTTCGAATCTCTTTCAAATTAGATAACCTAGAATCTCTTCACACAATGACCTTATATTTGAACATTTTGTTTGTATCATAACTTCAAGTTCAGATCTGTGAAACATTTTTTGAAGTGAAATTTTGTAGTAATGAGGGAAGTTTTTCTTAATAATTTGCCCTTAAATTGTCAAACTAAATCACACTTGGGTAGAGGAAGGGGAAAATATGGAAGCAAGGTTTTGTGGCTAAACAGCCCATACATCATTTCAAGAAGATTGCTTGTCCTCAATCTGTCCACTTTGGTTCATTTTGATTACTGATTTTGATACATCATTCCAAAGAACATGATTGTTGTCTCAATAGCTGGAACTTTTTATTACTCATTGCGATTTTTACCTATTCTTACTAAAGTCATCTTGGTTTTACACATCTTGTTCTTGAGTTAGGATGAAAGAGAGCTTAAAAGACAGAGAAGGAAGCAGTCCAACAGGGAATCTGCTCGTCGATCCAGGTTGCGAAAGCAGGTAAAATTACTTAATTCTTTTCAATTTGTTTGTTTTGTTTGCTACTTTTATCATGTGACTCCGTGATTCTATTATGACTATGTATGCTCTTGAGTCAGGCGGAATGTGACGAACTGGCCCAACGTGCTGAAGCTTTGAAAGAAGAAAATGCCTCTCTTAGATCAGAACTAAATCGCATCAGGACTGAGTATGATCAGCTTCTCGCCCAGAATGCATCTCTGAAGGTGATCTTAATATTTTAGTTTGTGCATGATCCCTTTTCACACCTTTGAGGATTGCATATAGTGTTCAATAATACCATCAAAACCGAATTGACATTGTCAGTTCCATGGAATCATTTTTGTTATCACGGGTTTGAATTGCTTTCTGTTTCCCTTAAACCAACCATATATTTATTGCTTCTTTTGCTTTTATTGGGGAAAAAAAGAAATTACTTTTGAAATGCTAATCCTAGTGCTCATGCTCTGTAATATTCTATCTGGTATGATTCATAAAATTTGATTTTTGCTGCAGGAGAGACTCGGGGAGGGCCCTGGAGAAGACGATGCTAGGTCTGGTAGGAATGACCAACATGTTGGCAATGGCACACAACAGACTGGGCAAACATAAATTGCGCAGAGCGGTCAATGAAGTTCCAGCTGGCCTTGCTGCAGAGAACAATTTCTAGGGGTTCACGGTAACCAAATTAGTAATAGGTTTATCCTTATTTTACACAGTAAATGTCTATCAAAATTTGTTAAACCCTGACTTTTTAGTCTCAGGTAATCTGTTTATCTAATGTATTATCCATCGTGCCTGGTTCGACCAATCTTTTAAGGTCAAAGACCCCCAGATGGTATGTAGAGAGTCTGATGAAATCTTATGTTCTGTGAAAAAGTGTAGTATTAGTCATTTTATCTTTGGAAAAAATGTATTAAATATGGTTGATGAATATGCTACACTGAGAATTAATTAATAAACTTGATTATGCTGTATTTTGTATGAATATTTTGTTCTGGTGAATTATATTTTTATATTTTGGCAATATTTCTATGGCATTAGGATTGTGAATATGGTGGCCTGGGCAGCTTTATATTTTGAATGGAGGCTTCTTTTTTTTTTTAAAATATTAATTATTTACATTGTAATTTTCTTATTTAATTTAATATTGATTTTCCTTGTATATATAGTCTAGTTAGGATGGTGAAATGAACCAAGCTACGCTTGTCGATCATACATTTGAGATCAGTTCATTATACAAATAAATTAAATTTAAATACATTTTAAAGCTTAATTCGGTAAATGTGAATACGTTATAAAAGATTAAGCCACTTGAACATGACTCAATTAAAGCTCACTTGTTTTTTATTTAAAAATTTCAATACATTTAAAAATTTGTAAATATTTTCAGCTTGACTTAAACAATCTATTGTTTGGCTGGTTTATTGTCCTGATTTAAGTACTTAAAATGAGGTTTACAGTCTTTACTATTAGGCCATGTTTGTTTGGGTGGACATGAGCTTGAGATTGGACTAATAGTCTAATAAAACTATTAATCCGATGTTTAGTTAAACAATTGAAATACGGACTAATTATTTTAAACTTGACTTTTAGTTAAGATAGGATATATAATCCAACGGATTCGTAATTCTAAGATTATTAGTCATGGGAATATTAATCCAATTTGCCCAAACAAACATGGCCTTGAGGGACATGTGAGGTTTTCAATTTTGTCAAGTCTTTATATGAAAAGTTTTATTTTTTTAATTTTCAATTAAACATTTTGACAAATATCAAAGAGCAAAAAATTTTGGGAGGCCTAATGGATTGGAGTTCATCCTCTCCAGCTTTCTTTCCTGGTGACGGCACAGAGTGGACCACATCGGCCCACTGAAAATTTACGGCTGAGATTAACTTAAAAAAAAATAAAAAAAAAAAATCAACCCCCCCCCCCACACTCTCTCTCTCTCTCTCTCTCTCTCTCTCTCTCTCACACACATTTTTAATAAAAACTTAAAAACTATTTTAATCTTTTTCATTTTATTTTTATAAGATATATATATATATAATTTTTAACATAAAAATTTAATTTTATAAAATTAAAATATCATTGAAAATATACCTTTAAAATGAGATTAATATTAAATATATTTAATAAAAAATTAAAATAAATA